TGATTTGGTGACTGGGGTAATTGGGATGGGTGTATCAGAGGCGGTGCGGTTGGCGCAGGATAGAGCAGGGTTTAGGGCTATTGTGCATAGGGTCGCTATGAGTCGGAAACGACTCGACGGCACATAACAACAACAACAACAGTCCTGTGTACAACAGATTTAAATCTTGCCTGTTCCTGTGCCATTCTCACAATCTCCTCTGTACTTAAATTCATTGTTGCTATGAACTTTGTCACTGTGTCAATCCATCTCTGAAGATCACCCCTAAATGGCTACAACAGTAGATTTTGGTTATAGAAGATCCCCAGTTTTTACACTACTAATTCTACACTTACAAGGAGCAATGGCCCCCTCTCCCTGTTCCTTTCATGTTGTTTGATTGCTTTCAAGTCAGTTCTGACTTATAGTGACTCCATGTACAACAGAACAAAATACCACTCAGTCCTGTGGCAGCCTCAGAACCACTGCTATGACTGAGCATACTGTTACAGCCACTGTGTCAATCAATCTCCTTAAACATCACCTTTTTACTTACCCTCCACCTTCTCAAGTATGAAGTCCTTCTCCAGGTAACTGGCCCCCTCCTGACACGTCCAACGTACTTGAAATAAGTCTTGCCCTCTTTGCTTATAAGAAACATTCTGGTAGTACTTCTGAGACAGACTTGTTTGCTCTCCAGCAATCTATCATATATTCAATATTCTTCACAACATCACAATTCAAAAGTATCAATTCTTCAATCTTCCTTATTCATTGCTCAGTTTTTATATGCATATGAGGCAATTAAAAAATACCAGAGTTTAGATGGGTGAGATGCATATTAGTTTTCAAAATTTCTTTGGTTTTGTAAAAAGAGGAAGGGCAGTTTGTAGACCTCCACAAAGGAGAAGTGCCTACATTAAAAACATCCACAACACTCGATCCCATGAGATCAGACATGTTTCCCCATGCTCCCATGACTATTTAAACTAACTCTAATACCTATCCCACTTCCTTTTTTGGGGTCTGAAATCCATTGCAATAGCTACACTGACTTCACAGAACCATACTCACAGTTATGGGGCTTATTAGAAAAGTTAATAGGCCATAATTCAGGTTAGCAGGAAGCTCTGGTGGCTTAGTGGAAAGGAACTGTGTTGCCAACCCAAAGGCACATTGTTCGAATCCATCAGCTGCTCAGCAGTAGAAAGATGGGAAATCTCCTCCCATGTAATTTGTTGCCTCTGAACATCCACTAGAGGGTCAGAGGGTTGTTGGTTCCAATTCAACTCTACACAACAACAATTCACCAGATGCTGTGCTGAAGAAGGAGGGTCAATCTCCTCCTGTACCTGTCAGATCTGATTTGACGGTTGTTGTTGTTATGTGCCGTCGAGTCGTTTCCGACTCATAGCGACCCTATGCACAACAGCCCTAAACCCTGCTCTATCCTGCACCAACC